TCATTTCGCATTTATCTTCATTTCTAGACAGCTGTACTTCACGTGAAATCCAGCGCGAATCGAGCGCAAGTGTTTCGCAAACTGTTTCGCCCAGACAATTTAGGGCAATATCGCTCGTCGTTTTCTTCCTTTTGAGAGAAACGCGCCATTCCTTTTATCATCTCTTTTTTTTCACCGCAAAAATTTGCCTGAACGACCTGAGCAGGTAATCCTGCGTCTCATTACCGGCGCCAATTATCGAATGGACGATTGGATCAGGTGCGGTGGCAAACGATCCTCGACTACTCTCAATCAAGCCGCGGACGAGAAGGACGACGACGATCGAGGGCAATTTCGATGATGATACGGAATTATCCAGCGCGAAGAGAAAGAAAGAGAGAGAGAGAAAGAGAGAGAGAGAGAGAGAGAGCGCGTGGTATCCCGAAAGAGGTTTTCACCACAGACTCCAACTAGAAGATCTCTCCATACCCTGCGCCTTTCAATATTTTTCGGATATCGTATATAATACTCTATGATATGTATATACATATAATCTATGATATGCGAAATATATGTGTTTACGTATGTACGCCGATAGGACGACTATTACGGATCTGCGGGCGAGCTTCGTTACGAGACCTGTGTGATTTTCCATGCAAATTGAGTTGTTCGCCTGTCATTATGCTAATAAAAGTAATGGCGCGTCGCATAGGGATAATGCAGCTGTCGTAAACGAACCGCCGCCGCGATCGGCATCGGGAGGCACCATCGCGGAAGGGTGCATCGCGAATCGCGACATTCGCGACATTTTTTTTCGCGGCCGATCGCCGTCGGCTCGGGGCCGCGACAGGTGGCTGACGAGATCGCGCGGTGAAAGTCGCTCCGGGAGCAACGGCTCTTCTTATCGCGCTCGCGTCCCTTCATTACGCGCGGACAATGCCGGGGAAGAAGTGGAAAATGTTAAATTCATCGCGAGCGAGAGGGAAAGCGAGGGACGCGCGCCGGATTTGTCTCACGATTAGTTTTCACCACCTGCGAACGACGTCGGGCGCGAAACGGGATTAGCCGCGCGAGAAGAAACGTTGGTATTATCGAGACGAGTTTTTCTCACCGCTGCACAGAATATCTCGGAGATAAGGCTACTGGATTTCTCTCCTCGTGCAAACTAAAACTACCGTTTCAAGCATTTCCCAATTTTTCTTTCGCGCGCTGAATTAAGAATTCACAAACGTATTCTACATTCGCGCATTATACGACGCTTTCTATTCAAATAATATTCTTGCCGGGACATTGCGTATGCTCGTTATGTCACGCGTGGAATGCATTTTCGTCAGGGCTAAACGCAACAGCTCGTCGCAGTAGTGTCGATACGCGAGTATCGCACGAACATGGAGAGTTTCGTGATAGTAATTACATTTATGTAAGATATACGCGCGTTAAATTGCGCTGCCGGTGTGCCGTCGAAAATAATGACGCGGCGATGTGTGTAATTAACGTGCCGTCATTGTGCTCGCGCCATTTAACCCAGGGGTTTTCCCCCGCGTTATTAATAATGTATAGGACTCGCGAGAGATAGAGCTTGCGCTTCTTCTCCTCTTTTTTTTCCGCGTACCGAACGCGAAAATGCAAACCGGCGCACGTCAATGACTCGTTTCTCACAAAGCGGGCGAGAGTCGTCCACTGAGCTATGGTGCATCGTGGGACTGACGGCGGAAACGCGTCTGCTGCCGCTCCGCTCCGCGCGGCGCAGCGTTACGTGCGTGCATAATGCATATCGCGTGACTCCGTCACGGATCCGGACAGTTACAACGTGTACACGCGTAACAATATCGCGTATCACGGCAAATCTTTTTCTACTACCGACGTCTAGCATTTTAATCGAAGTGCGAGAAAGAAAGAGAGAGAGAGAGAGAGAGAGAGAGTGTGTGTGTGTGTGTGTGTTTGTTTGTGTTTGTTTGTTTGTGTGTGTTTGTGTGGATGTGTGTTTGTGAATGAGAAAGAGAGAGAAATAGATTGCCAGGAATGCGTGTCTTCGTACGAGTGAACGATAGCGTAACGAGTGGCGTGCGTACTAATAAAAAATGTAATGCTGCGCGCGGTCTGTCGAGACAAGTCCGCCGTGCCTCTCCTTCACGCGTAGAGTGCCAAGTGCGTACTTCTAAAGCACTCTGTATATCGTATTACGACTGACTGGTTACATTGTAGCGCAATTACACTATCCCTATGTTAGATCTATGTTAATGACATTGTTACGTCCGGTGCCTCGCGATCGCGATCGTAAAAAGGAACGTAACACTTTTATAGTAAAATAAGGAAAATTTTTTACAACAGCGATAAATGTCACTCTAATAGAATGATATATTTCAAGCCGCGAGGGGGAAAAAAAATGATCACGCAACTAATCACGTATGTTCATACAGCTCGTAAGATCGAAAGCGATTCTATTTTTTTTTTGTTATTCACACCGGTCTGTCAGAACAAATGGAAACATTGTATCTCTTGACACGGCGCATTAGATCCCAGTTTTTCTTTGTTACATAGAAAGATGGATGGATTCGTAGGGAGAACAAGGCTGCCGTAATGACGGTTTATCGCAATTAAAATTATACTTGCTGACTACGTTGTAGCACAATTACACTATCTACCGGTAGATCTATATTAGTAACCGCAGCAATAACAACTCGTTTTTTTTTTTCTCTTAACGTCCAGATGTTCTTGCTTCGAGGCTTATCTAACCGTGCAGCCTATTATGCGTTTGACGAGAACGTTAAGGAGGATCGGCAACGCAGTGTTCCGGTGTATACTTGTAAATTTGTTTACGATTAATTTCCCATTTCCAAGCCTTGTTATTAACGAACGAGGAACAGTTATTTTTTAATTACTTCAAAATGAATTTTCGTTCAAATCTGTTCTAACTTGTTTTTCCACCTGACGATTGACCCGTTGAATTTTACGTACCATGAGTTTGCCGTATTCTCATAAGACGTTGGTTTCTTCGTTCTCATTGAAGAAGGCCATTGCCGAACGTTTACGCAATTGAAATCAGTCATTAAACAATGGATCCAAGGAAAAGCGCGATTTGTAAAACGTCGTGCCGGAAAAACTGCAGGACAGCGAGGCGCGCCCGCTGTGCTTTTACGAGCTGCAGCATGCCAGCCAATTACACCTTCCACGGTTAGGTGGTTCCACGTCTTAACGGGCAGTTAGTGCGAACATAAATGTCTCCGCTGTACGCTTTTAATTGCCCGCTTATAGCGCCGCTCGCAATATACCTACGCGATGGCGAAAAAGGCAGTGGCCGATGTAGAAATTTGAGACGCTGTGGTATGCGAGGCGAGCGATACCTGCCTCTCTCGGTTTATTTCCGAACGACCGGTGGAAATCATCGGTCAGGTTTCGAGAATCCCCGTAATAAATTTCGAGGCGGTCTCTCTTCGGCGAGAGAGGCTCGTCAAACGTTATTCCGTTTACAACTGTTGAATCTATGGACGTTTTAGTAGTGAGATCAGGATATATACAATCGCGAGGCGAGATCGCAAGATTGTGTGCCCATCCCTTTCTACCACGCTCCAATAACAAATAACACCGTAAATCTCGCCCGACCTTATTATAAGTCACTTAACCGGTATTCCTTTTCGACGTATGCATCGCGTGGGTGTGCGACGCTCGGATTGCCGCGTCGCGTCATGAGGTCCGTCGTGAGGCCCGTGGCGGAAGACTAACTTCTGGCCCGAGTAGGAACACTCGAATTTCGGTTATTAATTTCGTGAGGGGCGCGACGGGGTGCTACGACCCCCTCGTGCGTGTCAAACCGGGGTTGGCCCTTCATCGTGGCTCGCCCTTGGGATCCCCCTGAGACAATGGTCCCCCGCGGCGCTGGATGTCTCCGACGACGTCTGGGGACCCCCATCGGGACACGAATGCCACAGTCTCAGTTTTACTACTATAGAGACGTCAGTTATCCGTCCCGTCATTTTTGTATTTGGGCCCCGGCGTTTTGCAGGCCCTCTTCGCCCTCCTTCGAATTATTGGGACGACTGTATTGTCGACACGCGTTAATCGGCACGAAATATCGGCAAGGTCACGATATCGCTCACCATGCTAATCTGTCTTTTAATAATAAAAATAAAATAATAAAAAAATGCTAACAAAAATACGCAAGCTTTGTTTTATCTACATATATTTGAAAAATTGAGATAAATTTGTAATCCATGTTTCAAGCGTATTGCTTACTTTTAGAACGTATCTCGCACAATCAATACTGCACGATACGAGTAGGTAGAAAATACTCAATAATCTCTACAGTTATAGTGCATAATTTGTAACTAATTCGTATTTCGTGTTGCAACATTATTATTATTTCGACTAATTAGGTATACTATTCTCAACCGTTCCTCGTTCATTACTGCGCGAAATGGAATAATAATCATCGGTTAGATGGGCCTTAAACCTATGTGTAATCCTCCTCAAATGCAACGCGCTTGTGCGAAAATTACGGATAAGTACTATTCGAGTATAACGATTTACATCAATAAATGTCGAAAGATAGCCATGTTAACTCTTTTACTCTCAGTACATCCACCGCGTATAATCCAGTATATCCACCGTCTAACAATAAAGTATTAAAAAGACCAAATCGTAAAATACTTACGCCCTGTACATGGTTCGCAGCGATGTCCGTACGAAGATTAAATGTCGATGCCAACGTGCGTGTATGTAAGAAAAATATGTACCATTAAATGATATCGAAGAAGCTTTGCCGCGCTGTTTTCAAGCTACAAATTATTGCTACGGTTTAAGGTCCCGTCTTGCTCTCACGCGCGGCACATTTTTTAGCGATTAGCAATGTAAACTACATGCATGCTGATACGCGCAAAACTTCTCGCGCCCTGCGAGCTCTCGTGCCTACGAAGAAACCGGCGCTCCGCAATTAATTGCCTACCATCGACTCCGGCTTTTCTCTCCCGGCCCAAACCCATTACTTTGTAGCATTTGGCTGGTAACTTAATGACCTATACTCACGGAAGTCGGATCCTGAAACAGAAAAAGCGTGAAGGCACGGGTTAGACATGCTACTCAAAATTCACAGTGCGCTACGAAACGTTTAATTTTCAATTTTAAGGATCGAGCGTAGCATCGCAACGGCGGTGGCGGCGCGGCGGCGGCAACGGCATTACTCCTCCCGGTAGCCAGTTTCCGCTTTATTGCTCCTTTTTAAATTGCATTCGCTTAGAAATTCCGCTCGCACCACTCTCGTCGGTCGTATTATACGTAGTTGACTACGTGCTTACACGCAGAAAGGGGGAGAGAGCGAGAGGACAGTTCGACATTATGCAGGCATAATAATCGGACTGTAAATCGGTCGTGCGACGAAATAGCGTCCTGCCCCTGTGCTACGTGCATAACGTCGCGCGCAGTTTCTTTGTAAGTATAAAGACGTTCGTCAATTTGTTATGCATGCCTCGGTGGGACGAAAATTGCATTTAATTCGCCGTCGCTCTTGCCATTCCACCGTCCGGGCGACCGTCCGCGGCGGCCGTGGACGCTACATTGACTACATAAATGTAGATGTTCCATTTAAAAAGCCATTTTCGCGTGTTTAGCATAATACGTAATCGCGCGAATCGCCTGTCCGTCGAATCATCCCCGCATGTCCGTCGTCCGCAAAAGGGTTACCGCGTCGTTAACCGTAAGAAAAAAAGAGGATATCGCGAGCAAAAATATCCCACCTTGATCGACATTCCCCGAACAGTTTATTCCCCGTGCAAATGAGATTCCATCAAAATATGGAACGCCAGGAATCTCGAATTTTTGCTTTTTATACAGTTATATCAGTTGTCATAGAACAGAGATGAATCCCTGTCTGTCTTTTATACCAATTTTTTCTAATAAAGAGATTATTACGTCATAATTTATTTCCTCTTTTGATGATTATGTTGGTTACATCACCATTTATTGATTTATTAAAAAAAAATCCTGTTTACCAATTTATAGATATGCACTATTTATATAATGTGCACGCGACTCGTTGTATTTTTTAATTTTTCCATATTCTCTCTTGCACCGACATTTTCTCGTTGATAAAAAATTCTGCGGCCAACTGTAGTTTCGTTCAAAAACACAGCGACGTCGGTGCCGTGAGCGCGTTTCAATCAATCTACGAGTAAATGGCAATTCGACGCGACGCGTCGCGTAATTCACACGATGTGCACACAGACATCGTCGTTCTCGTTCCGCTCTCTTTACTCTTCGGTGGACAGTTTTACCACCTTTCGATAGTACCGGTTGTCAAGCGGTTCGGCGAGAAAAACTCGTTGCGAAATCGCCGATATATCGAAACCATACGTTCGCCGTACATCGCCGCGGTTCGGTGAAATCCCCGGCCCAATGAAAGTCGACGGTAAACGGTAAATTTTGCTTTAATTAAAACCCGATGGCCTGTGCAATTCTCTAATCCCTCTTAATTCGAGACAACATGTACCGTATCGAATTATCGTGTCGAATTATGATAAACGTGTGAGAAGAAACGCGCCGGCGCGTTTCCACCGACCGCGAGAAAACTTTCGAGAGCGTCGTTCGCGGCTAAAAGGCGGAAGACGAGGGCCGCGTGTTTCGAATCTCGATTCGACGTCCCGAAGCGGCGTACAAGATAGATGGTAATACGATTATCTATGGGGATGCTCCGCGCGAACGCAGGATATACATGCAGTTATACGCGATTGCTACCAGCGCCCGTTATGAACATAGAGTATCGCGCCAATGAACGTTTGTACGAGTTTACAAAAAAAAAAAAGAACAGAAGAACGTAAATCGAGCGAGTCGGGAAAAGAGCGAAGGAGAGAGAGAGGGAGAGAAAAGAGAAACAGAGAGAAAGAGAGATGAGAAAAGAGGACGAGAGAAGGAAGGGAAGATGAAGAGGATGAGGATGTCTGTAGAGAGGTTCGCCGCAAGATCGCTCCGGCTCCCACCGGAATTTTAACTTTTAATAATAAAGCGAGGGAGTCTCGTGTTGTTACGTTATGATAGCGCACGCGAAGGGAGAGGAGAGGGGGGGGAATGGAGGCGAATTAAAGGCGGTAGAAGGAAGTTCTCTCCGCTCTCCCGTCCTCGGTTCGCCTGCGGCCGGAGGCCGGGGCAAACCGCAGCACAGGGCACCGCCGCCACCGCGTAATTGCCGAGCTCTCACTTACCGGTCGTTCGATTGATTATTATTTTTACGCGCTGCGACCCGCCTGACCCCGCCGCGAAGTGTGTGCGAGAGCGAGCCGATCGGCGATCGCCGTATCGCGCGTCTTAGATCTCGTCATTAAGGCATCGCCCCGCTGCGGCGTGCTCTTCGCGGTGGACAGATTCCGTCCCCATAGAATATGCCATCAAAACCCTTTCTCGAAAAAAATATTTCGTAATTTTTTGACGAATTACTTATATGCGATTTTGGCAATTTTCTGGGAATTTTTGGACCAATCTGTTTTAAAATCTGAAGAATTCGATAGATAGAACGTTCAGTTATTAACTTATTAACTGTATAACATTTAGTTAAATACTCTTTATACTTTCTGATAGAATTAATCGCACGTTTATTGCAATTTGCAAGCTTTACTTTATTTAAATCTATCAAAACCTATCGTGTCGATGAATCGATCGGTCGGTGGCGAGCTATTATCTTTATATACCTCGACCCACCTGACCTTAATGTACCGATTGCTGCCGCTCCTTGAATCATGTTATTAAACCGCTTGATCTTATGGACAAAGGTTGCCAGGTGTGGGGAACGGCGAAATCACGCGAGAGCGCTCCGAGAGAGCCTTCTTTCCCTTCTCCCTTTTTTTTCATAATCAAAATGTGAATACACCGGAAGTCGTGATCGTATAATTAAATAACAAAGTAGGAATTCCTCGGAGAGATTGGGTGGTGGATCGCGCACGAGCTTTTTATGCGCAACAGAGTGCGGCGGTTACGCGGCTTAGCTCGACGCGGCGCAAACAAATTAAAACATCCGCCCAACGCTGTTGCATTTTAAGCGACGTTTTACCTTGTCTGCAAAACTCGCGAATACGAACGCGAACTGGAAGAAAGCGCAGAGATGAAAACGGTGCAACGCAGCGTAGAAAGAGAGGCGTAAGCCTCGCGATGTTTCCGTAATACTCTTTCTTCGGCAAGAAGCGCAAAGTAATTGGATTTGCAAACGTGGAAAGCCGCGGATACGCGAGAAGAAGAAACCGCGAGAAAAGCCGTGTAATACCGTAAGAGAGAAGCACAATGAGCTGTATAAATAAAAAGCTCAACGAGAGAGTCTTGCTGCCGCGCGTAAGCACGGAGAGTTACGAGACCAAAGAAAACCTGTCCGCGTTGCACCGAATAATAATTACATTCCGCCGCTGTATACGTTACAGAGTACAGAAATTTCACCAAAGAAAAAAAGAAAAAGGGAAAGAGAACCGACAAGCTCTCGGTGAATAAAAATACGCTATTTATTTTGTCTTGCAATTCCAGTTCTAGAGGCTCATGAAACTGTTTCACGAGTCGCGACAGGTGCTACCCGAGGCAATTAAAAGCTCTGCTGCTAACGAATGAGGGACCATGTATCGTAATCGTGAAAAAATAGTATGTAAATTGAGCATAAATATCGCTAAGTAATAATTGCTTGGCGAATGAATAGAACGATCGATCATATCTCGGATGCAAATCGAATGTCCGGCCGCAATATCGACCGTGAACTTTGGGCACGCGCACACGCACGCGTACGCACACATACACGCGTGCACACGTACAGACGGTTTACTCATTTAAACTAAATTATTCCAAATAAATGAGCGTGTCCTCGGTAGTGCCTACATACCCCGGGACATTCATTCACCCTTAATTAATGATCCGCTCGAAAGTCGGCAGGATTAATCGCGTGCAATCAGATCACCGTAATTAATTACTTCGTGTTGGAAGCACTTTGTTTGCGTCGGCGAGGGCTATCTTGATGAAATGAAATTGCGCGACGTTGTGTCTGAAAATGTGCAAGTCAACGCGCGATACAAATGACTTACTCTTCGTCAAGCTTGTTTCCCCTGCTTATTTTAGTATGTCCAATAATAATTATTGATTTCACGAATCCCACCGCAAAATTTTTCTCGTTAATTTATTTTACCATATATGTATATACGATCTTTAATTACATAAATTATTTGAAAAAGAGAAGATATGTTTTTTAATTTGATACAAAGGCATGACACACACAAGCTTGTCACTGTAAAATAACAACTCCAATGACATTCTTATTGAATCGCATTAAAAAATAAATATTATTCGATTATCCCTTTTCTTTCCAATACGATGATCTGAACGAGCGGCGATTTTCTTCATTTTTCTCCAACGACTTCATTTCTATCAATTTTCCGGGCGCGCAAAACTGCTTACGGCATGTATAAAAGGTCGTATATTATATAATACAACGGGACGGCAGTAATAATATCAGATCGTATTCGAACGCGTAGACGAGACTCGTAGAGATGGTTTATGACGTGCGAGCGAGTGAAGCGGCTCGCAAGAGCGGAGGTGGAAGATCTTTACGACCTTCTCGATGGCGCGAAATCTCTCTCTCTCTCTCTCTCTCTCTCTCTCTCTCTCTTTCTCTCTCTCGGTGCTTCAGCCTCTATCCTTCGGTAAGACATGGCTAAACCGTCTTGGGCTAAACCGTCGGTCGGGCCCCACGGCAAGAAGAGATTCCTTTCTCATATATGAAACGGAGTACGAACCGCGTTGTACCGACAGCCATCGCGCAGGCAAGAAGATACGTAATATTTCGGTGGGGAATGTATGTCGTCACGGCGTAAGATATCGTCGTAAGCGTCACCTCCGCTGGTCTACGTTTGCGATTGCGATCGGATTGCGAAGGCGTAGCTAGAGTATGAACAGTATAAACAGACAAGAGTAACCACTTATAAGGCGCTGGAGGCTCTCCTTCCTTTTACAAATGCAAAAGTTAAGAATCTGTCATCTTTAGAAAAATATCTGATTAAGTGAGAAAGCAAAATTATCTTAAC